TGGAGTGTGTTTGCAGGGAAACGGACTTTGATGGGTTACTTTGAGATGTACATCATTTGAAATTTTAGGTTGGCATCAGAAACTGAAGCAGATTGAACCACCCCAACCTTCAGTGTTTCTGTAATTTTTCAAACAAGGAAACAGGCATTAATATTTTCCCTCTAATAGTCTCTTGAGCACATATTCACCCACACATATCTAACGAATATGTGTTATAACCGTATAACCAATATGTTACATCCAGAGCATTGGAGGAATTTGTACTGTTTATGTCTTTTCCAAAGGAATCATACAAAGTGACTTCCAATGCTATTCGCCACCATAGCCCTCGTGGCCTATGACGGCCACTTATCCCCTTTCTTTAGAAAGATCTTTAGCATTGTACTCTTATTAGCACACATCTTAAACTTCTGCTACCCAGAAAAGAGACCTGGTTTTTCCAGGTCATAAAATTCCTTTGTGATAGTGTTGGGCCAAAGAAGAACTTTACTCTCCCTGGCCCTCTATGTCTCTGATGGGTGTGTTAAGCAGAATGGAATACAGCATTGATATATCTCTGGAGACCTTGGTTGGAAAGGGTAATCCACTTATATTTAGGGGGGTGTCGGACTATGATAAACATCCCCTGAGATTTCCCTTGCTTCTTTTTCAGATCTCCAAGTTCTGAGATGCTAATCAGCCCTCTGTCCCTCTCTGTCCACCATTTTGGTCTAGTGCAGAGCATGACGCATGAGTGATTTAGTCTCTTATTCCTAAATCCAGAAGAGGCCTATTTTCTCCTGAGTTTACCTTATCATAATTATCCTAATTAAATGTTTATTAAATGTCTGCCAAGTGCCAGACACTGTGCTGGGAAAGAGTATCCTGAGACGACCCTCCCAGCTGCACAGAATTTGAGAGCTCCAGCCACCAAAGGAATCCTCACTCTGACATGTCCAAGAAGTGGTCATCTAGAGTCTCCTGGAAGGTCCCCTAGGACAGGGAACCCAGCCCCTCTCTGGAGGCCATCCATTCTACTTTCCTATAACCCTAATTATTAGGAAATTTTCTAGACACTAAGCCTAGATTGGCCTTTTTGTAATTTCTTTCCATTACATATAGTTTGGTCTTGTGGCAGCTACATGGAGCCATTAATAGAACACAGGGCCTGCAATCAGGAAGACCTGAGTTCAAATTTGACCTCAGGCTCTTACTGGTTGTGTGACCTGGGCAAGTCTTAACTTCTGTCTGCCTCAGTTTCTTCAACTGTAAAATGGAGGATAATGACAGTAGCTACTTCCCAGGCTCCTTGGAGGAATCAAATGAGATGATACTTGTGAAAGTGTGTAGTGCTCAGCATAGAGCAGGTGCTTACTAAATGTTCTTTCTCTTCCTTCTTCCCTTCTCTATGGTGCCAAGCAGAATGTCAGTCTATTCCTTCATCTACAGGATAGCCCTTCAAAAACCTGAGGCAGCTACAATTCCCCCAGCAGCTGGGAATCCAGCTGCCAGACTATTTTAGTATGGTGGATGAGCTTAGAATGTGCGGTTGTGGTTTTTTGTTACATTTTAAAGTAAAGTAAAAAATCACTGCTAGCTCCCAGGCCATACAAAAAGAGGTCATGGGGCAGATTAGGCCCCAGGCTGTAGTTTGCCAACCTGTGGTTCAGATGATAGGTAGAATCCCCAAACTTTGGTTACTAATTGATTATGGGGGTTAGACAGGGTGGAAAATGTATGAGGATAAGTCTGAAGTGGCAGACCTTTGTGACTGGAAGGATTGTAATGGATATAGAGAGGTTTGGAAGAAATATCGGTTTAGGGGGAGGGATAATGAATTCTGTTTTGGACACAAGATGCCAATGGTACTTCCAGATGGAGATGTCCAGTAGGCAGCTGATGGTGACTAAGCGAGGATAAAGATAAAGGGAGAGAGATAAAGATTAGGTATCTAGAATCCGGGAGTCATCTTTGTAGAGATGACAGTATGGAAGCTGATGGGATCACTGAGAAAAGATAGAGAAAGAAGAGAAGAGAGAGAGGAGAGCCCAGGACAGAGTCTCAGATACACCCACATGTAGGAATTGGACAAGGATGGTTATTCTACAGAGGAAATGAAGAAAGATAGGAAGAGAATCAGAAGAAAGCAAGGTCACAAAAATCCAGGAAGAAGGAATGAACAGCACCTACCTACCAAAGTGCATGGCACACAATAGGTGCTTAATAATTGTTGACTTGACTTGAATCTCATGGCCAAAAGAAATCATTCCCTGGTGGTCAGCTCTCTGCTGGTAAGTCTCTGACATTTAGCTCCTTCAAGAATGCAGATGTCAAAGATGTCATGGTCCCCCCACTTTGCGTCTTGGTAGGAGCCCCCTTTGCTCTCCTTTGAGAACCCAAGGTCACCGCCTCATCCCAGTGAAGCACCAAGAGTGGGGCTACAGTGGGAAAAGAAATTATGATGAGAAAACAGAACGGGCTTTTATTTCTAGAGATAAATTAAAATGAGAGGCAGTATGGTGGAGCAAACAGAGGGCTGGCCTCAGGGTCAGGAAAAGCCAATTTCAAGCCCTGCCTGTGGCATAGAGAAGGGGTTTGACCCTGGGCAAGTCAGTTTTTTAAAGAAGGTTTAAAAAAAGTGTGCTTCAATCTGTGTTCAGACACCATCAGTTCTTTCTCTGGGAATGGATAGCATTTTTCATCATAATGGACAAGTCATTTTGAACCAGTCAGTGCCTTGGGCAATTTTCTAAGACTGTCATCTGCAGAGTAGTCATAGATCTGCATTGGCCAGGGGAGTTTTCTCCCTGAAACTTCTTACATCAGTGAAATCATGGTTCTAGGCATGCCTCAGTGTCCTCATCTATAAAATGGAGAGGTTGAGAGAGCTGGCCTCTGTCAGCACGCTCTATGTGGTCCTTTTAAATTTGTGCACAGACAGCCAAGCCATGGCAGAAGGTGCTATCTCTGATAAGAGAGAAAAGTATTTATGGAAGGAATGAGAGAGAAAGAGCATTCCCAGGGGAGAAGTGGAAGGAAACACCTTTTATTTGGGCCTCAGAGGGTGGCTGAGATTTGATTGATGGAAATGAAGAAAGGACGCTCTAGGAAGCAAGACTTATGTGAGCAAGGCCAGAAAGCGCGAGGAATATATGGGGAGCGAAGAATCGCCTACGTAGACCAGTCTACATAGTGTCTGGAGGGGGACGGTGGGAAATAAAGCTGGGAACATTCAGTCAACAAGCATGTCTGGAACACTGTGTGCTAGGTACTATCTTAAGGACTGGAGATAAGCCTGCCCACAGGGAGCTTAGGGTGTGAGAATTACTGGGTGTATATAGAATACATGCATGGAAATGGGAGCTCATTTCAGGGGGCAGGCTTGAGGGGGAGGGGAACAACTCCCAGAAAGGCTTCTGGAGGACATGGGATTTGAACTGGCTCGAAGAAGGCCAGGGAAGCCAGGAGGCAGAGGTGAGAAGGAAGAACATTAAGTTTTCCAGTAGTTTGAAACAAAGACTGTTACAAAAACTTCTGTACCTGTAGTACTAGAAATACCTGTGGTACTATAGATGTCTGTAGTACTAGAAATACCTATAGGTACCTGTAATACTATAGGTCCTCATAGTCCTATAAATACCTGTAGGTACCTGTGATACTATAGATGTCTGTAGTACTGGAAATACCTGTAGGTACCTGTAGTAGTGTAGGTCCTCATAGTCCTAGAAATACCTGTTAGGTATCTGTGATACTATAGATGTCTGTAGTACTAGAAATACCTATAGTACTATAGGTCCTCATACTCCTATAAATATCTATAGGTCCCTGTGATACTGTAGATGTCATAGTATTAGAAATACCTATAGGTCCCTGTGATACTATAGATTTCTGTAGTACTAGAAATACTTATAGGTACCTATAGTACTATAGATACCAGTAGTACTATAAATACTTGTAGGTCCTTTCCTGCCTTCTTTGATTTCTTTGATCTTTGATATCAGTGGTATCACTGGATTAAAGTATATGTGCAGGGTAGTTACTTTGGGAGTCTTCTTCTAAATTGCTTTCCAGAAAGACTATATTAATTCACAGCTCCACCCACAAATAGGAAATTAATATGCCTGCTTTCCCATAGTCGCCCCAACAGTTACCATTTTGTCTCCGCTTTGGTTTGGGTCCTCTTCTTAAGGCAGTGGGGTACTGTTGAAGATTTTGGGGCAGGGGAATAACATGGTCAGAGGTCGAAAATAGAATCTTAACTCTTCCCTTCATCCTACAGAGTGCTTGGGAATCCATGGCTTTACCCAAGAAGGATCACCTTCTCTGGGGGTCTTGTTTGGAAGGGAGGGGTTAAATTGGAAGCCCCCTTACAAATGCTTTGGTGCACAGAAAGCATTTGCATGTGGTGCCTTGGGGCTTCATTATCTGACCTTTTAGTAATACACTCATGGAATACAACCAACTTAAGATCTTGGCATGGGGAAGCTCTATCTCTTTGCTTCCATGGCTACATTAGCCTGTCCCCTCCCCTTACTTCCTTCCCCAAGTATTGACACATGGGTGGGGGGCCTGTTTCTGAAAAGCTTAGGCCTACTTTGTTACGTGTACCTCCATGCAGGAGAGTGGGTGGAACCCCTCTTACCCAAACCACATTTTTTTTTAAATGCTGTCTTTAAGTGACTTGAGTTTTTCCCTGGTTGAAATTCACCCACCCCCACCCCCGACATTCATCCTGAGGTTGTACTCTGAGTAGGGAGGTAAGCACATGAAATCAAGTGGTGATTGCTAACAATGAAATTTTGGCTCATAAAATCAAGGATATTATTCAAAACTGCAAGATAAATTAGGCTCATTCATTCTGATGGGGCTAGACTCTATGGCAGTGTGTGCTTTCCTTAATTAACACGCTGAAAAGATGGTCTGATTGAGATTATTAATGGATGCAGTGAAATTTCTGCTGCTTACACGGCTTCTGCCATGCAGTTTACAGAAATACTTTTCGGTTTTTTCCCCCTGCACAGATTCCTTACATGGCTTGACAGATGGAGTATTCATCTTTGAAGATGTTTCCACAGAAGAGAACAAAACCGTACAGGGCTATGACGCCATTGTTGTCGAACAATGGACCGTCCTGGAAGTGAGTGTGTCATTTATGATTTCTCTTCCTTTGTTTGTCTGTCCCTGGATTCTGTTATAGAATTTTGCTAAAGCTCTTTTGGAGGCTAACCCTATAGCTGTTTTTCAGCTGTGTTATTCATGTGAAAAAGCCTGGGTGTTGGTGGCCCTTCAGACTGCCCTTTCCACCCATCTGCTGTCTTCCTTCTCACCTACCCGTTTGATGTCAATGGTCCTGAATTTACCGTTTCTGTATAAGAAGGCTGTGTGTGACTTCAACAATCAATCAGAAAGCATTTATGTGCTGGGGAGAGTAGCACAGTAGAAAGAGCAGAAGACCTAGGTTTGAGCCCCGCCCTTCAATATGTGCAGATTGTGTGACCCTGGGCAAGATATTTAACTTCTCAGGGCTCCAGACGCCACCGCAAGACTCTGCATTGCAGAAATATAGAGAATTTCCTCACCCAGGAGCTACCTATACTCATGAAATCCTGGTCTCTGTGTGCCAGGCACTGTGCTGGGCTGTGACGTTATTAAAAATAAAACAACCCCTGCCCTCAAGGGGCTTACATTCTGTGCTGTGAATATGTATTCTGCCTTTCATGTTCTTCCTTTACACTTCCTAAACATTTAAAAAGTTTTAATTGGCAGATAAATTTATCCTATGAAAGGAGTGGGATGATAGAGAGCCAGCCAGAGTCAGGAAGTCCTTTCTGTGACACATGCAGGGTCTGTGACCGTGGGTCAGGACCCCCAAAGCAATTCATGTACATTTTACAGATGAAGAAACTGATGCTTAGAAAGGCAAAGTGGATACCAGGTGGTCAGCACTTAGTAAGGGGCAGAAGAGGGTGAGGATGATGTCGAATTCTTCTTGTGCCCACATTGCACCTACTCCAGAGTCAGCATTCATGGGATGAATGTCTCCATGGTGGTAGACACGCTAGATGTAGAAGAAGATGGGTGTTGGAAATTTTGCTCCATTTTGGTGGCTGCTGGCAGAGAAATCACACAAAGCCCCCTCCCTCGTGAGTTTGGAAGTGGAGGATGTATGTATAAACATCCCTGCTGTACTGTAAGGAAGCCTGTCTAATTTTAGAAATGCATGAGAGTTTTTAAGACCAAGGAGTGATAAACCAGTGATAAACCCAGCATCTGGTGGTGTGTTTCCATGTGAAAGGAGAAGTCATCTAGGCAGAGGTGCCTGTCCTAGGAAAGGCATGAAATTAGGCCCCAGGCCAGTGGCCAGGGACCATTCTGTACCAGAATGCACCAGTAAGTCCACCCCACAGAGCCAAGTGGGCACCACCCAATTAGGAAGGACTAGGCACCCACCATAACCATTCAGAACAATAAGAGATTAATTTTCCTGCATCCCCCCCTTGAAACAAGAGGCAAATAGAGGCAGTGGTACATAGTGGAAAGAGCCCAGGACCAGTGCCGATGGCTTAGGCTGTCCCATCAGTCACTTAGCCACGCTTGAGCCTCACCTTCCTCATCTGTAAAATGAGTACAAGGGGAAAAATAATAGGGATTATAGCAATAGCTAATATTTATTTATATAGCAATTTAAGGTGGCAAAGTACTTTACATATATTTTTTCATTTTCATTTCAAAACAATCCTGGGAGGTAGGTGCTATAACGATTCCCATTTTATAGTTGAGGAAACTGAGGTACGTAGCAGTCACATGCCCAAAGTTGCAAAGTCAGTGTCTGAGGCCAGATTTAAAATCATGGCTTCCCGATTCCAGGCCCAGAGCCTTGTGCGTTGATATTGGAATTCATGTAATTATAAAGAGTTGCAAATACGTTGAATTGACTGATGTTTAATATTCACTTTATAATTAATGGTGTTTAGCTCTTGGCAGTCCTAGCCTTAACTTGGTTGTTTTGGGGAAAATACTTTGTCAACCTCAAAGCTCTGTGAAAATGAGGGCAGCTGGGTGGAGCGCCAGGAAAACCTGAGTTCAAATGTGGTCTCAAGGCACTAGCTATGTAATCCTGGGCAAATCACTTAATGCTGTTTGTCTCAGTTTCCTCATCTTTAAAATGGAGAGTAGATGGTGCAATGGATAGAGCACCAGGCCTAGAGTCAGAAAAACCTAAGTTCAAATTTAGCCTGAGACACTTAGTAGCTGTGTGGCCCTGGGCAAGTCACTTAACCTTGTTTGCCTCAGTTTCCTCATCTGTAAAATGAGCTGGAGAGGGAAATGGCAAACCAGTCCAGTATCTTTGCCAAGAAAACCCCAAATGGGGCTGTGAAGAGTCAGACTCGCCTGAAAAGAATGAACAAGAGTAGTAGTGCCTACCTCCCAGAGTTGTTGTAAAGATCAAATGAATAAGGTGCTTAGCACAGTGCCTGGCACATGTGTGTGTGTGTCTGTGTGTATATATACACACAGACACACACACACACACAGACACACACATACGTATAATATATATAAATGTTAGTGATTATTAAATGAGTTGCCTTATTAGACTGCACGCTTCATGAAGACAGGCCTCAGGTCTTACTGACACTGTTTCTCTTCCCTCGAATCTAAGACAGCATACAGTAGGTATCTAATAAATGGATGACTGGATGAATCCTAGAATCAGCAGGTAAATAGGTTTTTGAGGCAGGGCTGATGCATAAGCCTTATTTAATGGCACCTCAGATAGATGTTTGAGCCCAGTGCCAAGTTGAGAAATGAGGGAGGTGAAGGAAAGGGTGGATAAAGGGTCCTGGGCTTTGAGGACCTCATTAAAATCAGTTATTTCAATGTTTTGTTTTGTTTTCTTTTTAGGCGGTTGGGGTTAAGTGACTTGCCCAGGGTCACACAGCTAGCAACTGTTAGGTGTTTGGTCTGAGTCCGGATTTGAACTCAGGTCCTCCTGACTTCAGGGCCGGTGCTCTATTCACTGTGCCACCTAGCTGCCCCAAGACTGCAGTCTGAACACTCTTTCCATTCTCTTAATTTTATTGTTACTGTTACAAAGTTGTTTCACTTGTGTCTGACTCATCATGGCCCCATTTGGGGTTTTCTTGGCAAAGATATTGAAGTGGCTGGTCACTTCCTTCCCCAGCTCATTTTACACTTGAGGAAATTGAAACAAACAGGGTTAAGTGACTTGCCCAGAGTCACACGGCCAGCAGGTGTCTGAGGCTAAATTTGAATACGAGTCTTTCCAGACTCCGGGCCCAGTGCTGTGTGCACTGTGGTACCATATACTCTTTTTTTTCTTTTTTGGTGAGGCAGTGAGGTTAAGTGACTTGCCTAGGGTCACACAGCTAGTAAGTGTCAAGTATCTGAGACCAGATTTGAACTCACTCCAGGGCCAGAGCTCTATCTACTGCACCACCTACCTGCCCCTGCCCACACACTCTTAATACTGACTACATAATATACTTTCCACTGCCTCTCTACTCTTTTCACTCTTTACACATTCCTTTGCCTTGGGTGACTCTATTATAGCAAAGTTGACAGGAAACTATTACTTTATCTGACTTTTCACAGGAAGCCTTTGAAATAAAATGGGCATCACACACCTCCTGATAGAGCTTGCTTTTCACGTTTTATTTGATTTTTAATATTTCACATTTTATTCTGTGCTTGGCGTGGTATTTGCTATTGCTGACATTCATAGAGTGTCAGAGTTGGAAAGAACCTAAGAGATCATTTCACCCAACCCCCATTTCAGAGTTGGAGAAACTTAGGCCAAAAGAGATCAAGTGCCTTGCAGTGGGTGGTCCAGCAATGGTCTGGCAGTGGCATTTTTCTCATTTTCAGGGTGATGACAGTAAAGACGTCGGCAAACAGACCTTCAGCATGTCCCCTTCCCTTAAGTGGTCTGGAACATTCTCGAACCTTGCAGAATCAAAATAGGAGTGAAAACAGAGACCCCACCCAGGCAAGAACGTCCCCTGGACGCAGGCCTCCGCTGCCCGTGTTCCCTGGATGGCCCCTGCTCTTGGATTAACTTTCTGTTGTCCCAGCAAAAAAGGTGGGAGGTGCAGAGCCTCCCCCTTCTCAGGCAGTATCCCTTCCCCTCCCGTCTTCTGCAGCCCAGCACACATGCACTCTGGGGGTCAGGGGGGTGGTGACCAGGTCTGTGTCCTTTGCATTCTGGATGAAACTGCTTTCCCAGCAACCACTGACCTCCCTGACTCAGCCTGTCTCCCTGCTCATAGGAAGCGCCTGACTCACCTTTCTCCCATGAATGCCCTTCCTGTTTCCTCTCTGCCTCATCCCTCCTGCCCTGACTCCTCCCTTCTGGCAACCTTTCTGATTTGAATGGACCCGTCCTGGCTGCCTGCATGGTCCCCCTCTTCCTCTGCCTGCAGTGCCACTAAAAAGCCCCCTGAGTGCATCTAGAAATAGCCATCCTTTCTCTGCTGGCATCCCCTCCTTCCTGAGGCACGAACCATTGTGTGGTCATCCCAAGACATAAAATCATGGCCTCCTAGCCCTAGATCTGAAGAGGCCTCTAGTCTGACCCCTTCATTTCACAGATCAGGAAACTCTAACCAGGTTCACGACCCGCTTCACATGCCACAGAGAGTAAGGATAGGGTAGGATGTGAAAGTAGCCTTTCCTGACTCCAAATCCAGCCCTGTGTTATTTATTGTTAATATTGTTATTAATTATTATTGGGATGGGGAGAGGACAGCATCAGGTGAACAGAAAGAATACTCCTACTGTTTTCTCGGTAGTCGGGCAAGAAAGTAAGTGATGATAGTTGGTGTAGAAGGGGCCACTTGGATTGGTAAATAGAATGAAATGTTTATCAATAGGTCATTGGTGATGTCATTTAAACCCTGGTAGGGTCGCAGGATTTTTTTAAAAATATGTTTTCCTTGACTTTATAGACCAGAGGGGAATGTGAAGGATAAACCATTGGGAATGGAAAAATATATCCAGAGATTGTTTTCCTTTTCTTGTTTATGCAAGATGTGATTCGTGACTTGTTTGGACTCTCTTTAATTAGTTAAATAAAAGCAACGAGGGTCCCATGATCGTCCTGAAAATGTTTATTGT